ACCCTCTCACAGTGATCACCTTCACTCACCCTCTCACAGTGATCACCCTCCCTCACCCTTTCACAGTGATCACCCTCTGACACTGATCGCCCTCTGACAGTGATCACCCTGTGATTGTGATCACCCTCCGGCAGTGATCACCCATCCCAGCCCCATTGTTTTCCATTTCTAATGGATTGTTAATATTTCGATGATGTCAGTGAGAATTTAATGGAATTTCTCTCTGGTGTGAGGAACTCCTCTGCTGGCAGAGCACATGAGCAATACATTATAAATGTATTGGCCCTAAAGACATTACTCTCAGAGTGGTGCAATTCTCTAAGAGATACTGGACTAAGTGACAGCATTATTCCGGTGCATGTACCCCACCACAACCAAAATAAATCCCAGGCATTCAAGCAATCATGAGAGGACAAGACAAGTTGAGTTGTCACTACACACAACACCTATTGAAAGTGACAGGTAGTCAATGGAAGATGGTCTGAATTAAAAACAGAGTGCTAGCAAAGCTCATCAGGTCTGGTCGCATATGTGGAGTAAGAAACAGTTCATATTTTGAGTCCAAGATAATTATGGTTTTTAAGCGGTTGACAGACAGCAGGAGGAGTCAGTGGAACAGACAGTGAGTAGAGTAAAAGATAAGGCTCGGTGGTCAGCCAGGGACCCGGGTTCGATTCCAGTCTTAGGTGAGTGTCTGTGTGGACTTCTCCTCATGTCTGCATGGGTTTCCTCCGGGTGCTCTGGTTTCCTCCCACAGTCCAAAGATGCGCAGGTTAAGTGGATTAGCCACATTAAATTGCCCCGTAGTGGCCAGGAATGTGCAGGCTCGGTGGATTTTGTCATGGTAAATGCAGGGTTATGGGGATAGGGTGCATCTGTGTTGGATGCTCTTCGGAGACTCGATGAAGACTCAATGGGCTGAATGGCATCTTTAAGAGCTGTAGGGATTCTATGACTGCTAATGGTAGTACAGGAGTGGAAGAGATGTAATATGTTAATGATGGGTGCATAAGGGAGAAAACGGATCTGCTGAGAGCAAAGCCAGCAGAACATAAATGACATATGGTGGGAGGTTCGAGTAGTTTGTAACCAAAATAAAGGAGAGACGTCATGCTCTGAATTTGCTCAGCTGAGTGGAGATCCTTCGAGGCTGTAAAGTGGCTAAGAGAAAATGAAGTATTAGCATGGGAACAGGATAGTTTATTGAAAGGTCAGGGGCATTTTTATGGGCTAGCAGAGATGATCCAGAAAAGTTGTCACAAAATTGAGTCTGTTTCCATCACAAAATAATCTGTGGAATGACTCTCAAACACAGATGCATCAGACACCATGGCTGAATTTTTAGGCCCGACTAACAGAGGCAGAGGTGGGTTGGGATCTTGATGCCATCCTCAGCATGGCAATCTTGCAAAGCTGAGTTTGGGTTGCAGATTAGGCTCATTTAGGACCTAACTAAGGCAATTGAAGAAGGTCAGCTGGGATTTTCAGATTGATCTGCAGCCTCGCACATCAGTGGGACCAGTTTTGATGCCTGCAGCAGGCATTTGATGGTAGGCCAGAGTGCCTTCTTCTTTTTAATTTCAAAAATATACTTTATTCATAAAAATACTTTACACACAAACGTAGTCTCTAAAGCAGTTCGGTTCTATAAAGTCTTTGCAAATGGAGAAAGAAACAAACATTGCAGTTTGATTTTCCGACAGTTCCACAAACCCAAGGCATTTCTTACTTGTGCAAGATACTATTTACATATATTTGAGGCACCAGAAGGGTCCGATAACTGAATGGACCCCCCCTGTACTTGGCCGAAAATCCTTAGATGGTGATCCTTCCCCACTGTGTCTTGGCAACAGCTGACCCAAGCTTTAGTGCATCCCTTAGCATGTGGTCCTGGACCTTGAAATGCACCAGTCTGCAACACTTGGTTGAGGTCAACTCCTTGCACTGGAAGACCAATGAGAATGCCTTCACTCTAGGTCTCCAGGCCTTTACTGCCTGCCTGGGTGCTACAGAGGACACATGCATCCATATAAAGAGGTTCTTTCCTCTACAGTGAGCACCTGCATGTAGATTTAAAAACATTGCAGGGAGAGTATCTGCATGTTAAATGTCCCCTCACTTATCATATATTACAGCTCTCAAGCTGAAAAATTCATTAATCCTCTTGATTTGAGATCTCACTGACCTTCCTTAATTGGATAGAGAACTATTTTCCCTATGCTAATTAGGAGGCATCCCTGTGGCAATCCTATTGAGTGACTGTTACCCTCTCACCCTTCCCCCAGGTAGCCTCAATACCTGTGAACCATCCCAACTCCTGTTTCCCACCTTTGGAGGGAACATCTAGCCACATGTCAGATGATCCACAGCTATCGCTGCTGTTGCTAGTTGTGTGTATCCATCCCTGATTTATGCAGATATCACACCAATTTCTACATGCTTATTCTCAGTGTTTTTAAAATGTCAACTCTCTAGCTGCTTCCAGCAGGCCCTACCATTTGTTTACACTGCACGAAGTCCACACACAGGCTTAAACAAACAAGCACAGTGAGCAGCAATAGTAAACAGACTCACAATCAAATGCACATCAACACAGGGCCTTTCCATTTCCACATCCCAGCAGATTATCGACATGACAGTACCCACAGAGTCCAAAGAGCCATGGTGCTCCCTTCATCCACAATAGCACTCAAGCACACCACCCTAAACATGGGTGGCTTTCAGTGAGTGGTTGTATACATCATGGATCTAAGACCAAACCAGAGAGAATGTGGCAGATACAGGCATCAGTGAGCCACCCTACCAGATAAAGGCACTGGAATACTGGTACCTCGAGCTCATTGTTCCATCCTCCATGCACACTTCAGTAAGGGCGATTTGGTCGGGGGGAGAAATCTACCTTAGAGGCCACCATAACTGTATTTTGTGCATGGGTTTCAGATTAGGCTCACTTAGGATCTAACTAAGGCAATTGAAAAAGGTCAGCTGGGATTTTTAGATTGATCTGCAGTCTCTCTGCAATCTCTACCTGTCTTCATTGAAGCATTCACAATGTGCCACACTAACAGTAGATTTATATAGGAAGCCCCTGGACCCAGAGACTGTTCAATTGGAAATCACTCTTGACAAAAGACCCACATACATTGCAGAAATTGTATGGCAGGGCAATAAGAGTGTGTGTGCGTGTGCATGTGCGTGCGCGTGTCAGTGTATGTCGACTTATATTTGATCACCAAGTCTTGAGGTGGGACTTAAAGCCTGTGCTTCTGGCCCAGAGATAGAGGTACTACCCACTATACCACGAGACATCCTCTAATCCCAGTTAAGTAGAAAGGGAATTATTTACAAAGTAAAAACTGACAAACTTCAACCTTTACTGCCTGGTCAAAAGAAACCTAATTGTCAGCATATTCAATACGTGAATGAGGTAAAGCATGAAACTTATTTAAAAGATCAAGTGCATATAGTTGGAAGTAAATGTAAAACAAGGAATAACATAATTGCATTGATAATCCATCAGGCAAATCAGTTAAGCTAAATATATCAGAAATGTTCAAAATGCAGTTGTATTATACGACTGGGAAACTGTACACTAGAAACTGGAGTTTCAATAGATCAAATGGCCTTTCTTTATCTTCATGCCTCTAATGTTTTTAAAACAAGGCATTAATTCAAATAAAATTGGCTATTTTAGAAGACCTGCGGTTACAGCAAGGTAGTTTTGGAGAGAGATTGGAGCCATGATTTAGGACATTTTAAATGTATTTTCAGGTCCATTTCTTTCTGTCCTGAGTCAGATCGTAGACAGACATCAGGAAACACCTACCATTAGTGGTTTAAATAGGATGCCAGAGAGGCAGGGGATACCAGAACCCATGCCGGTAGTCTATCCTTTATATTGTGAAGCCTTGACTATAATTCACCTGAAGGACCATTGGAAGGAAAGGCGCTCTGCACAATTACAGTTTGAGATATTCTTAGCCCTGATATCCCACCATGCTCCTTGTTCATTGATCCATGCTTCACTCACAGAGTGAAGAGTTTGCAATGCCACAGCTACATACTTGCACGTTGAAAATTACATCAAGTGGGATCACAAAATATCCACAAGTAGATGTGCTTTTCATCTTTCAAAAGTGAGCAGTTTATTTTAAAGTGTCAGTCACTTAAGTATCAACCTTTATTATGTACATTTTTAATCAGGTTTAGGTTATCAGAATGTTTGTGTAATAGGATTCTTGGCTGTAGCTCAATGGTACCCCCCACCTCTGAGTCAGTGGAGACTTGAGCATGTAATCTGGACTCAATCATTCTGCATGTAAACTTGGATTTTCACCATGTCAGGATGACTCAGGCGTTCTTTAAAAATGACGATGGGTCCCAATTCCAGGATTCCCAGCCTCGTTCCTGGGCTTTACAATCTGCACCAGCTCCTTTTACAGCCGTG